GCTCCTCTGATGCTGCTTGGCCTGCTGTGTTCATTCAGCTCTACACCTGGTTATCTCAGATTCTCCAGCATCGGCATTTCCTACTATCTCTGTAACTAGCTTAAACTGTTTGATTTCTGGGCGTTCATGTGTCAAATTTCATGAACAATGTGTGTGTAAATCCAACCAAGATCTTTGCGTAACGCAAACAAGATAGTGTAAAATGTCAACATGTTCCAGAGATCTGGAAATCACATTGTGCCTCTTTCCCTGAAATTTCTGACCAATTTGCACTTTCTCCATAGCGTGCATTTTAAATGTCACTTATGTAACCAATAAGCAAAGCCCAATACCTTAGCACGTTCTGTTCAAAAATATCTGTTAACATTTGCAGCCTGGTGTATATTTCATTTGGGTCAATGGCCTTTTAACCAAGTCAGTCTTGTAGCCTGAACTGAAATCAACTCTAGTTCTCTTTAAAATGACTTTCCATTGGATTTGAAATCCTCTTAATGAACTGAACAATGACATGACCATTGTTAACTTGAAAATAAAGCCCTCACTTTCTATCTTTATTTCTTCCATTCTAACTGATGAACGAGTTCCCTTTTCATAACCTTTTGGGTCTTAGAATCTCAGATCAGTCTCGTTTCCAAACCTCTCCCCAAACCCCACCAGCTTCAAACAGTCAGGTCCGGGGCTTCCTTGAGGTCTTAAGGGATCCTAAACTACCATAAACAGTTCTTCTCTTTGAAACACTCCACCAGTAAACTTAGTATTATGATTAGTGTGCCTACGTTAAAGATTCAGGGGTTGCTCAAAAACTATAGCAGATTGGAAAGTTGAATTGGCTAACACCTAACCTCACTTGCTGAGCCTCTCAAGTCTTTTGTAGTGTCTCAGAAGGTCAACAAACTGAAAATATCAAGAATCTCAACAGTCGGGGATTGCTTGCCTTTCTTTTGGGGACAGATCATTGCATTGTTAATCTGAGGGGTTCAGGAGCATGTCGCTAATTTAGAAGCTGCAAACTATTGCAAGACATGTGTCCAAATGAATACTTTTGGTTGATTTAGGGGTGGAAAGTTGTTAATCTATACCATTCTCTTCTTCACTTGTGTACTCTTATTGGAGCAGCATGTCTCTACCCCTTGGACACTATTGTCTTCCAGAAGGAACTTGGAGTCCTATGGGGCAGAAGTATGGCTTTGATTTTAGAATGCACCAAGCTAATATTACAAGGAGCACGATGACAAAGGTTGATAGACAAGTTGGTTTTCTGTTCCATTTTTGTTTTAAAATCATGCTACTTAAATCTCATCAACCTTAACTGTGTTCTATAACTTCAAGACTCTAATGTGATCTGAGATGTACTTAAAATAGCTCTGTATTGTAAACAGAACAAAAATAGAAAATGCGATATTCGAAAAAGTACTTTGCAATTATTTTGCTTTTTAAAACCTTACTGCTAGGAGACACCTTTCTGAATCATCTTATCTACATTAATACTAATGAGTTCTCTATTACTATCAATAATCACTGTTAATTTGCATTCAGTTCTGAATATTAAATAAGATTGCTATTCTGAGCTACCTAAAATACCAACTAAAGCTATTATTAAGGGAACACCGTAATTTTAATAAACTGGCAAAATATTTTTGGGAACATGACTACAGTCACGTTGAGGTTAGGGCTTGTCAAAAAAATATTTTCCAAAATTTGAGCCCGGTAAGTTCTCAATATAATTCAATAAACAATAGTGTTTAATTATTTTGAACAAGTGGCTGAATTTTAAAAAGTGGCAACACCCTCATGCTCCTTACACAGCACATTCCAAATTCTTGACCTCTACCGCCTGGAAGGACAAAGGCAGCAAATATATGGGAACACCACTAATGGAAGTTCCCCTCTAAGTTACACACAATCTTAATTTTTTAAATTCATTCATGGGAGGTGGATTTTACTGACAAAGCCATCATTTATTGCCCATCCCTAACTGCCCAAAAATTAAAAAACTGAGTGCCATATGTTGGGCAGACCATGGCAGATTTCCTTTTCCAAAATATTTTGAGAGTGAACTTCTTTTTTAAATGACAATTGATAATAGTTAAATAGTCACCAATAGGCTAGATTTTAATTCCAGATATTATTGAATTCAAACTACACCATCTGCAACCATGGGATTTCAACTCATGTTCCACCTCCTCCACTGACTTGGAACTATATCACTGCTCCTTTATTGTATGGTGTCAATATCCTGGAACTCCCTTTCTAGCATCACTGTGACAGGACTCCAAGGACTGCAATGGATCAAGAAGGCAACTCAATATCATCTTCTCAAGAGAAGTAAAGGATGGGCAATAAATAGAGTCACAGAGTCATACAGCATGGAAACAGACCCTTCGAAGCAATTAATCCATGTTGGCTAACCATGATTATTATCCCATGATCAAAATATAGAATAGGATCCCGATTAAAAAATATCATAACCATAATAACAAAAAGCTATCAATCTCAGTCTGGAATTTTCAACTGATTCCCCAGCCTTGAAGGCTTTTTGAGGGACAGTGTTACAGATTTTTCATGCCCTTTGAAGTGCTATACGATGTCACTTTGGCTCTTTAAAGGGCTGCACAGGGGAAATAACAATTTGTTTCATACTGTCACAACCTGGGTTAGGCACTGAAACATCTTCCAACAAAATGTACGGGGGAAAAAGATGAATTTAAGAAATGGAGTTGATAGGCAAGTGACAGAACAGCACAGTACAGCATCCAAAGCTCAGTTTGAAAGATTGCAAAGTGCTCATTAAGGTGAATGAGAAGATGGCTTATTCCACTTCACTGCAAAAGCAGCAATGCAGGAACAGGCAGCAAAGTTAACATTGGACCATAACAGCCATTGCACCTGGAAAATTACAATCATTTCTCAAGAATACAATAACAATTATGCCAAGATGCAACTGCCTCATACTGGGAAATAGATTGCCCAAATATGCATACTGCAAAATGAAGGCTTTCACCTTTGGTGGCAATTTACAGCAGCAGTTTCATTGGTTATATTCACTTTCATCACAAGTTGGACAAATAGAAACCACAATGCAATTTCAACTAAACCCGCAGGAAATCTCAAGGATGATTTTTCCGTCTTGTGCTTGTACTCGCCAAGTCATTTAAGGGCCGGTTAGAAGATTTGATTCGGTATGAGTTGAACTACGGTTCCAATGAAACAGTTCTCCATTTACTTTCTTGGATCACAGTACACTTTTGTCATAGCATCATGTCTAATCCTGGATTCTGGGAAATCCAGCCCCTCTCATATGTTGTACAACATATTCAAATAATGAAAATAGTGGCTGTGGTTTTATTTGGCTTGTGCACCACATTTCAAATCATTTTGTTTTTGATTTCAATAGTGTCTAGAATGCTCTGCAAACAAACATGATCAAAGTTGTGACATTTCAGTAATGATGCTGGTAGGTCTTCTGTAGAAAGCTAAATAAGGATTGTGTCATATTTCTTTCAATTTTTCTTAAAGTTTGTGTCTTGGATTCTTGAAAAGTTCTTTTTCATTTGCCATTTTGAAAAATTGTTACAGCAGGAGATAATCCAAAAGTGAAATGATTCATTTCCAGACATAAAGGTGGCAAATAGTTGGCATGTTATTTAGCTTTATCCATGGACTCCTAACTGTTTTCTGCTCATTGCTAGGTCTAATTATAATGATATGTTTATTGCCAATACACAAAAGTAAGTGATTTTAATACTCATCATGTGGATCAATTTAACTGAATTGTTTTTTTCCCCAATTCAATTCAACAATCTATGCATCATCTCTCCTGGGGAAAATGCTTACTTTTTGCTTGGTGTGTGGGAGGAATACATTGTAACTGCAAGGCAAATCTATAACCACAAACAATGAAATAGCCATTATTTCCAATTTAATGAGTTAAAGTTGACTGATGCTAGCAATCACAAAATATTTCATTGTTACAGCACATCTCTCACAAATTTTGCAAAGTTTAGTCCTGACCACCCCTTCTTGCGAAAGTGGAACCACAAAGGCACATTAAATCAACACTGTTTGAGGTCCATCTGTATTCTTTTGTGACTTGAACTGGTCTGGGAGATTTCATTTTCAAAGCAGTTGAGTGAGGTAGTGAATGGAGTAATGCAGTTCACAAGGACTGACTGATTATTCAGGCAATTTAGTGATAGTGTGCTGGTGTACCAGAATACTGATAGATTACCATGAAATTGCACTCCTTCTGCACAGCGGTTCCAGTTCTCCCTCTCCTAGTTGATTTGGTGAGGCAGAAAGAAATACCTAGCTTTTAAGGGGTGGAGGAGTGAATGAAGGTTTGGAAATCAGAGACAAAACTGTACGCTTCCTTTAGAACTGAATCAACAGTCCAACAATCTAGTTGGAAAATGGTACATATTTTCAAGAAACTTTAGAGAGGTAGGGGAATATAAACTAAAAGGATGGAGAGTAAATATAATCTTATGTATTTATAATGATATGCTGTTGCAAAATATTCAAATGCCTTCGAGAGAAACGTTGGCTGAAAATCTATTTGCATTGGATCTTCTCATTACACCGGTATAATATTACCAGTTCTAATGTTGTCCAACAAATTATTTTTGTGCTCTTACCTTTCATTTGACTTCTGCCATCCTCCAACATTGGGAGTACAATGGTGGAGTTCAAGTTCCTCTGAGACCTCATGGCAGTGTAGACCACAGGAAGGGACTGTACAACCACTGGAATGCGATGTACATGACTCAGTTTGCTGGACTGAAAGTTCATTGGATTTGAAGGTGGCATTGGATGGATTATGTGCAAGTACTGTTGGCCTCCAATAGCCGGTGAAGATGCCACAATGGAGCCTGATGCTAATACTGTTGACATTGCTGATGAGGACACCGATGTAATCACAGTTGGGGATGAAGTCAATCGAGGAGAGCAAGAGGACATTGAAGAGACTGAGATTGTCGTCACGGAGCTGGGCGAGGACTGTGACGACGATACTGCTGTTGGTGATGTCCGGGCTTTATTAATGGACAAGTCCACTGGCTCAGTTTGCGTCTGATATTGATCGGTAGATAGTAAATCCTCTGGAGGTTCTGCTTTCATATTATTAAGCAATATTGGAACAGCTTCCATATCTGAAAAGTTAGGGGCTCGTGGAGACTGTTAAAATAAAACAGAAATAATCATCACTTAGTATTTTCATATTTAAAAAATTATGGAAGTAAGTATTAGTGAAAGTAAAATTTTAAAGGAACATGTTTGAAAGTCGAGTACATAGGAGAAAATTTGATGAGACTATTTAGAACTGAATTGCTTTAAAAATATATATATGCATTGTCACACAAATAAACTTCTGTCATTTAAACCATCTTTGTTAAAACGTTAACAAAGCGAATACAAACTCTAACATTCTGATACACACAAGTCACACTGCAGCTTGTAAAAATGTTTGATTGCAAGATTAACTTGTTAAAATAAGTTAATTTATTTCGGAAACATCATGCCTTTCCATTAGGTCAATTATTCTCTCCCACAAATTCTGGTTCCCTGTGAATAATTGTGTTGTCTCTTGTCTCCCCTTTTAAATAATAAAGTAAAAGGAAGTAAAAGTTCTCTGGCTATGGAGAATGGATGTGGCTTTATGGCTGAGGGATATTTGTGCATTGGTCAGAATTTTGGCCAGTGAATGCCCATGCTTTTGAGATGTCCAAATGCCAAAACAAGAACAAATGCTCAATGCTTACCTCTAAAGACGAGGAACTAAATTCAGTTAATTGCAGGTTACCAACAGGGTTTCACTAGGTGATTAGGGACTGATCCATTGTTGAACATATCTCTCTGAATCAAGTGCTCCCATCACCAGGACATCCATCACCTAACCTGTACTAACAAAAATGTACCGAGACGGTAACTACAGCATGATCTGTTACTTCTCCTAATAACTGAATATATAATGGAAAGCTTTTGACATTCTGCTGTCAAAATCCTGGAATATATAAAAAAAATTGGAAAAAGATGTTCACATGCATAATATGCGCTTTGCTTTTCTTTAGATCATCTTATGCTTATGTTTGAGCATTAGGTTGTGGTTGCTTGGTTGCTGGGCTGATAATTTGTAACAAATCCCAAAGGAATTCCATCCAAGTCTGTCCGTTCATCTAAGATCACTTACTCATTTGTATGTTTTTACCTCTTGGCATCTAAAATGGTAACATCTAACTGTAGGGTGGCAATGAAATCAAGCTGTGGGATACACATACATAAACACAATGCTCCCATCTGAAGCTCCCTGCTATTTTAGTGGAATCTGTACCTTTCCCAGATTGCCAAAAGAAGCATTTCAGCCAGATCTAATCCTTAACTCTCATGTTGCAGTTTTAGGCCCAAATGGATTTGCATCAGGGCTCATTGGCTGGATTTTATTGAGCAGGACCAACTTCTCACAACCTCTCCCCAAATCCACACCCCCTTCCCACCACCACAACCCTGGAAGTTAGCAGGCAGTAGAGACATTCAGAAGAAGTGTGCCCTACTGCCATAATACACTGGGTGGTGGGCTAACCTAGTTCACATAGGGAGAGTAGGAAGCCTGCGGTGGTGGAAGTCCCACCCTGAGCTGCCAGACATGCAGCCTGGCTGGCAGCTCTACCAGTGCCAGTAGTGGGCGCTGCTGCAACAGCAGGAAGGAGCAACAAAAACAGAAGATGGCTGCCAGCACAGGCATGTCCTCAACATTTAAAGATGGGGAGAGCTGACTGCTCAGTCCCTTTCCCCTTCTCCTGCTAACTGTGTTCTAAGCAGACAGCACATTATCAGCTTGGTAATCAGCTTGACTGAACATTAGTTACTGATTTGAATATGATGGGAGGGCAGCTGATTTTGGATGCCCATCCGTCTACTGTGCTATTGGAGGCTACTTTGGGTGTAGGCAGAAAGGCTTGTCAGTTGTTGCATTTTACATGACACCATCTCTGACAAAACATGCTCAGCGTAGGATCTAAAACATCAGCCTCATGTTTAAAAAGGAAAAGATAAACAGAATTCATAATCAAACAGCATGTTTATCAGCTGCATTTTTTTTTTTTTAGTAAATTCAGTCCATCATAACTTTTTGACTAATCTGATGATGACCCTACATATTTACCTTAGCCTTCTGAATGCTGCAGACAAATTAAATCATTAATACTTTAGAGACTAATGCACATTAACAGCAAGCATACTTGACAGGACTTGGTGGAAAGGCTCCATCAAATATCACCAGGATTAAATCTGTGATCTGTCTTCAAAACTTTGCCACTGGACTTAATGCACAGGTGGAAAACAATACACTTTTATAGCAGAGACAACAAGGCGTAGAGCTGGATGAACACAGCAGGCCAAGCAGCATCATAGGAGCAGGAAGGCTGACATTTCGGGCCTAGACCCTTCTTCAGAAATGGCAAGAGGGAAGAGAGAGGTCAGAAATAAAGAAAGAGAGAGAGGAGGGGTGGGGCTGGGCAAGGTAGGTGGGATGGCGAAAGGTGAGTGCAGGTAGGCAGCTTTCCTGTTCCTCTGATGCTGCCTGGCCTGCTGTGTTCCTCCAGCTAGCAGCAATCTAGTTTAGGTAACAAGGTGTAGAGCTGGATAAACACAGCAGGCCAACCAGCATCAAACGAGCAGGAAAGCTGATGTTACGGGTCTGGACCCTTCTTCAGAAAAAAAAAAATTTCTATCTCTGGATCTAGTTTAGGTGCTCTGTACACCCGCTGGGAATGGTCACTATGCTAACCAGCTAAACCAGTCAGAAATACAGCTGAAATGGCCCAGGCCGAGTTACTGTGTCTGTGCTGGGTCCTAACTAGTCGCAGGACAGGGTACAGAAGAGGCTAATGTTGAATATCATAGCCCCAAGGTCAATGGGAAGAAACTCACAAAGGTAAGTTTTTGTGGACCATGTAGTGATGTCCTACTGGAAGTACAACATTTAAAATCAAATACTTTGTCCACAGTAAGTATAGCCTAAGCATTAATTAACCTGCCTACCTTTTAATACTATTCCTCTTGAAATTAATTCATGATTTATTTGCATTTTTAAACAGCCTTGTTAAGTTTCATTGCTCCTTTTAATGATTTGAGACTGTGTTGCTCTTCTAGTCCAGGGGTGGCCAACCATTTCACGAGGGTGGGGATGGGGAGGGGGGAGGCGGTGAGTGAGGGCACATTTCAATTTTCTCTTCCTCGGGGAGGAGGAAGGGATGGTGAGCAGACTTCAGAAAGATGCGGGTTGCCACAACTGTAAACATGCCCCAATAAAATTTCAAGACCAATAGGTCGATAATGTAAATGAGTAATTAATAGAAATGACTATTAAAAAATGGCAAGCTGCAAGGCTTAATAACGAAGCCAATTTTTACCTTTTTTGGCTAAGGAGCAGAACTAGAGAAAGAAAAAGAATCAGCCCAATTTATAATCATCAGGGAAAGGGGTGGTGACTGAGGTGATTAAGTGTGATGAATTCTGACCTCGTGCTGTCTCTGATGGAGCCTCTCTGAGCTGAACCTAACAAAATTCACACTAAAATGGGAGTTGAAAGCAAACCTGGGGTTTCCTCCACTCACAGCCTGCTTTCCCTCTCTCCTCTCCCACACTTTTATCCCTCACCTGCATTCTCTCTCACCCCTTTCCCGCACTTTCTCACACCTCCCCACACTCTCTCCCTGCTCGACTTACTCTGCCCCTTTAAATGCAACAAAATAATCCATGGACTTTGTGCTCCAAAACTGTCTACCAGCACTATTATCCCATCAGCAAAATGAGATGGAAGTGGCCAAGTTTTCTTTTCCAGAGAGACTTAAATGCAATTTGGTAAAAGGCAATTTCTTTTTTAAACAAATGAAAATAATTAGCTACATGAAGAAAGCATGAAAGAAATAGGAGCAGGAAAAAAGACTATATGGCCCATTGACCTGGTTGTGCCATTTAATATGATTAAGGCTTATTCTCAGCTTCAACTCCACTTTCCCATCTGCTCTCCATATCCCTGACAGACCAACATCGGTCTATTTCAGCCTTACAATATTCAACAATGGAGCATCCACTACTCTCTGGGGTACTGAATTCCAAAGATTCTCAACGCTTTAAGTGAAGAAATTTCTCTTGATTTCTGTTCTAAATGATTATTACCTTATCCGGAGACTATGCCCTCATGTTCTAGATTACCCGGCCACAGCAATTAGCCTCTTGGGGCCTGTTGAGCCCATTCAGAACCCTGTCTGTTTTAACAATGTCATTTCCTTATTCCTCCTATCAAATTACACTTATTTGTTCTTTAGCTTTCACCTGCATCTTCTGTCCTTTCTGCTTTTGTTGCATTAACATCACAGATAATATCTGTCTTCTGCCAACACGTATATGGACACAGCTCACTAAACCAAGCGTGTCCTACTGAAACTGTACCTCTGAGAATAAAAATGTATAAGTGGAAATAAGCTAAAGATGGGTCTCGAAGATTTCAAGTGATGGGGCTGGGGATTATTTTCTTTGGCAGCTTGTTCCACTGTGGGACTGTCCTTGGCAAGGAAGATTGTCTTGGAAACAAATGGTTTTTATAGTTAGTCTGGTTATAAACATCATATTTGTCATTGCTGGAGGCGCCAGGTACTGGTTTCTGTCAATTCCCCCAAGTACATTCCATGTTCAACAGAATACAGTCAGTCAGTCAGTCAGTCTACTTTTCTTCCTCCTTTGCCATAATGATTCCTATTTGAAATCTTTGATGAATGACGTACGGGGGTGTATTTCCCATACTGATTTGTGCACAGCCAAGTAGTACATCTTTGGATCACCAATCTCATTAAAACCTTTCTCCATACAAGGATCCCACACACATTACTTGCATATTCCAGGCATGGATAAAGAAATCTTCAGCAAGCTATAACTCTAATATTTTTGTTGCCATACCAAGATGTTCCTCCTCAGCAATCACAACAACCTTTTTCAAATTTGGAATTTATCTGCAAATGGTGGAATCCCCATTGAAGGTTATTTTTAAGATGAACTCCCAGGGACGGTTATGTATTTACATGTTGAAAGTTACAGAATGGATTCCACCATTCGCAGATAAATTCCAAATTCAAAAAAGGTTGTTGTGATGGCTGAGGAGGAACAGCTTGGTATTGCAA